CTGCCTCAGTTGTTGTAGGTTTTTTCGGGCTGTATGGCCATGGTCTAGAGGCATTCTCTCCTGACATTTCACCTGCATCTATGGCAAGCATCCTCAGAGCTGCCTCCTTTAATATAAGATGTAGGAATGCAGTTGCATTCAGACCTTATGTCAGGACCCAAATGCTGCTTTACAGCAATCAGTTGAGCACCTGTATAATATAGGAACCATTTCATTCCAAGGGCGTTTCATACAAGAACAGATCTGCTGCATTATATCAAAGCTCTATCTTTTTAAAAAGCACCACCATCCCCTTTCTATATATTAGACAACTAAATTATTGAATAGCATTCCTATTTCTAAAAGATAATTTTCCTTTTGTGGATTACATGTTTCAGTCCAATGTCTCCTTAGATCAGTAGTTCTCAACCTGTGGGTCCCCAGGTGTTTTGGCCTACAACTCTCAGAAATCCCAGCCAGTTTACCAGCTGTTAGGATTTCTGGGAATTGAAGGCCAAAACATCTGGTGACCCACAGGTTGAGAACCACTGCCTTAGATTGATATGACGGATTTTAAAAGTGTGCATCTTGGCACAAAACATGATATCAGAAACATTCAATGAACATGATATAAAATAGCTTAAAATCGGTGACCAATGCTCGGCTGAACTAGTGGTGGCTGATTTCCCATTCTGGTTGGGGGGGGGGGAGCACTGTGGCCAATAGAAGGCAGAGACAGAGGTGGTAAGTACAGCCAGGGGAAGGCAGAGGGACTATTCATGCACACAGAGCAGGCACACAAGCATTTGCACATGCACACAGATATGTATGTGTATGTGCAAAGAGAGAGGGAGAGAGAAAACATTCAGGAGCTTTTTGGCTAGAGACAGCCTGACTCGAAAATTAAACAATGTCCCATTTGCCCGAATGGGTTGGCCTTTACTAATTTGAATTCATTTAATCTCATTTCTAGTATCTGTTGCCACTGTAGAAAACAGACTTGACTCTTCTTTCCATGAAAAGTTTGTGAGGATGCAACATGTTCAACAATGCTGGATTTTAGAGTTCATCATCACCAATTTAACCCACTGACTTAGAATACAGCAGTGGTTCCCAACTTTTTTTGACCAGAGACCACTTGACCAGGGACCACTTTGTCCAGGAACCACTCTCCAACATTCATACCGAAAGGGTGACAAATCAGTTTTTGGTCAACTTAGATTCAGTTTTGTTATTTGGGGTGCTGATTCAGAAAATTACATTGGATAGACCACATCAGCTCTAGTTTCTGATACAGAACATATGTCATCCAGTAGTCGTCATCTGCTCACCCACAGAAATCTATATTTAATAAGCCTTAGCACTATGAGAGGGTTTTGTGAGACCAGTTGCTCTCGTTGCAATGGTGTAGTAACAGGCCGCGGACCATATTTTAGTTCTAGCAGACCACTGGTGGTCCACGGACCACAGGTTGGGAACCACTGGAATAGAGTCTGTATCTTCATTTAGCAGAAAATTTCATTAAAATCAATGGGGCTTACTCCTGCAATCTTAAGAACTACACTATTTCAGCTGGGACCATTTGTGTGGATGTAACACAAATGATCCCATTTGTGACCAGGGCATAGGACTAAAATCCATAGGTAATGTATTAGCAATACATGTTTAGATTGTTCACCTGGAAGTACTTCCCACTAAATCTAAGTGAACAAGATACTTGGATTTATGTCTAATGTCTCATGCAAAATATATGAATCTACTAATTTGATAACAATCTAGATCTCAAGTACACAGGCTTTTATATTCTGTGAACTGGCTTCCTTAACATTTTCAGATTTATAACACACTGATAACAAAAGTGGGAAAGGATAGAGATGCACACATACAGTAGAGCCTTGCTTATCCAACCGTCACTCATCCAACATTCTGTATTACCCAATGCAGTCTGCCTCCCACCCGGATCCACGGTTGTTTCAATACATTGTGATATTTTGGTGCTAAATTTGTAAATACAGTAATCATTACATAATGTTACCCTGTATTGAGCTGCTTTTTCTGTTGATTTGTTGTAAAACACGATGTTTTAATGCTTAATTTGTAAAATCATAACGTAATTTGATGTTTAATAGGCTTTTCCTTAATCCCCACCCCTCCTTATTATCCAACATTTTTGCTTATCCAGTGTTTCTGCCGGCCCATTTATGTTGGATAAGCAAGACTCTAATGTACATTAAAATGAAAGAAAAACATATTTTCTGGTTTTCAGGGCATGCTGTGCATAATGGAATGCTGAATTAGACAATATATGCTTCCTAACTTTATTCAGGAGTGAAAAAGAAAATAACCCCATCAAGAAAACACAGTGCCTGCTTTGTATTTGTGCTGGTGGGAAGTCAAGAACCTGAACTGATGCTCGATTTCATAGTGAATTAGCATGCAGTCGCACTGGTGGGGTTTGGGGTGTAAAGTGCTAATTAAGCCGCAGCACGTCAGTCGTGCACCTGTTGCTATTTTATTCCAAAGGCATTGTTTGGATTCCTGCAGATTTACATCAAAACTCCTTTTCTATAGCGACCTGAACTTGTTGGCATTCAGGTTCAACCCACCTCCTCGAGAGGCTTTTCAAAGGAACTTGTCTCAACCCTTCTGGGTTTTCTTTTCCTTCTCCTTTTAAGAACTTTGCCCTCTCAAAATCAAAGAAAAGTCTAGCTCAGAAATCCTCAGAAATCTCCCAAAGAAAGTTATATAACCGTTTGCACAATCCTGTGCTAAAAATAAAGACAAAAGTGCCTTTGCAATGTTTGGAAGGAAGGTGCCACCAAGTTTGTAGAACTTTTGACATGAATGGGGGGGGGGGGCTTCCATTCATTCAGTGTGTAAACAAAAGAGCAGGGATGCTTGGTTTCAAAGAGGGTGGTGAGGACCACTTGTGCCATGTGTACTTGGAAGTGTTCTTTCATTTTGGGTTACAAACCATAATTCACCCAAAGAAAAGAAGAATACGAAGCAGAATCAAAGAATCAGAGAGTTGAAAGAGACCTCGTAGGCTATCCAGTCCAACCCCATTCTGCCAAGAAGCAGGAAAATTGCATTTAAAGCACCCCCAATAATTGGCCATCCAGCCTCTGTTTAAAAGCCTCCAAAGAACGAGCCTCCACCACACTCCAGGACAGAGAGTTTCACTTCTGAACAACTCTCACAATTAGGAAGTTTGACTTAATGTTCAGGTGGAATCTCCTCTCCTGTAGTTTGAAACCATTGTTCCGCATCCTAGTCTCCAGGACAGCAGAAAACAAGCTTGTTCCCTTCTCCCTATCCCTCACATATTAATACATGGCCATCATGTCTCCTCTCCACATTCTCTTCTTCAGGATAAACATGCCCAGCTCTTGAAGCCGTTCCTCATAGGGCTTGTTCTCCAGACTCTTGATCATTTTACCTGCCCTCCTCTAGACCCATTCAGCTTGTCAACATTTCCCTTCAATTGTGATGCCCAGAATTGGACACAGTATTCCAGGTATGGTCTGACCAAGGCAAAATGGAGGGGTAGCATGACTTCCCTGGATCTAGACACTAGACTCCATTGGCTTTTTTGGTACTGTATGATATTGTTGGCTCATGTTTAACTTGTTGTCCACAAGGACTTCAAGATCTTTTTCACAGGTACTGCTGTTGAGCCAAGCATTGTCCCCATTCTGTATCTTTGCATTTCATTTTTTCTGCCTAAGTGGAATATCTTGCAGTTGTCCCTGTTGAACTTCATCAGATTATTTGCAAATGTTAGTCACACCCCCCCCCCCCTTCTCTCTCTCTCTCTCTGTCACACACACCTCACTTAAAACCTGGAGGGGATTTTCTTTTCCCATGCACTCATCTGTTGCACGCGCAGTGTTCACTTCATCACTCAAAAGAATGAATCCACTTTAAATCCAGTTTCTGCCTCCTGCAGAATTCTGGGGTTTGTAGTTTAGGGAGGCTGTTAAAGGCTCCTCCCTAAATTACAAACCCCAGAATTCTGCAGGAGTTGGAAACCAGATTTAATGTGGATTTTTTCTCTCATGTGATGAGGCAATAAGACAATGTTTCTCAACCTGGGGGTTGGGACCCCATCGGGGTCATGAGGGGGTGTCAGAGGGGTCACGAAAGACCATCAGAAAACCCAGTATTTTCTGTTGGTCATGGGATTTCTGTGGGGAAATTTGGTCCAATTCTATCATTGGTGGGGTTCGGGATGGTCTCTCATTGCAGGTGAATTATAAATCCCAGCAACTATAACTCCCAAATGTCAAAGTCTATTTTCCCCAAACTCCATCAGTGTTCACATTTTGGTATATTGAGTATCTGTGCCAAGTTTGGTCCAGATCCATCATTGTTTGAGTCCACAGCGCTCTCTGGATGTAGGTGAACTACAACCCCAAAACTCAAGGCCAATGCCCTCCAAACCCTTCCAGTATTTTCTCTTGGTCATGAGAGTTCTGTGTGTCAAGTTTGGTTCAATTCTATCGTTGATGCAGTTCAGAATGCTCTTTGATTGTAGGTGAACTATAAATCCCAGCAACTACAACTCCCAGATGACAAATCAATCCCTCCCCCAACCGAACTTAAAGTGGATTCATTCGGTACTGTGATGAGGTGTGAAACTCGTCCAGTTCCCGTCTCTCCGCCCGCCCAACTGAGGAAGGCACCGCGTGGACACGGAGAGGATCCCCACTTTGGCTTGAAGGCACACGCACGAAGGCGCCACGACCCCTCGCTTTGTGGCGGAGGCTCCGTCCGCATTGTGTCTTCCAGAGAGGGTGCTGCTTCATCCTAAACCAAGTGCCATCCCACCTGCAAGGTGGAAAGGCGATGGAGAAACCCGCCTTGGCTTCTGCCCGCTGCTCTCTCCGCCCAAATGACTGTCATGTCCAAACCCCAAAGGTGCCAAGCACAGAGCCAGGCGTTTTCTTTGGCAAGGCAAGGGGGGAAAATACCTGCTACAGAAGGGCTTCATTGATGAATTCGGGTGGGACTTGGCTTACCTGTCCGTGTCCCCGGGGCTCCCTCGACCTGCTCCTCTTGGAGCTTCCCTGAGGGTCGCTTCTCCGTCCGTTTGCAGGGCGCAGCTCCGCCTGCCTGCCTTGCCTTGCCTTGCCTTGCCTTGCCTTGCCCTGGAGAGCAGCAGCAATGCAGGGAGGTGGGGAGAGAAAGCGACGGAGCCGGCAGCTTTGCTCTGACTCCTCTCAGCCACCGCATGGGGATATTGCCGGAGCCGGAGCTTGCGATTGGCTCCCATGGCCAAACAAATCACCCTCGGCTCCCCTCTTTCCAAACCCCCTCCCGACACGCTTTCCATTCAGCGCCGGGTTCTTTCCGAGCGTGACAGGCAGGCAGCCCTGGCCTCCCACTTCACGGCGGCCCCTCCCCGCCCTCCCCGCCCTCCTTCCCCCTCTCCCCCTCTCCCCCTCTCGCCATTGTCGCTTCCTGGGCATTTCTTTGCAACCTGGCCTGCAGATCCAGCGAGCAACCCCAATAAATACATACATAAATAAATAAATAAATAAATAAATAAATAAATAAATAAATAATCCAAATTGTCGAAGGCTTTCATGGCCGGAATCACTGGGTTGTTGTAGGTTTTTTTGGGCTGTATGGCCATGTTCTAGAAGTATTCTGCCCTTTCTCCTGTGTGGATCATAATACGTTATGGCAAGTTCTTGGTGGTGTGGGCATACCAAATCACCTTGTCTCTCCCCTGATGAATCTGCATAAGGACCAAGTAGCCACAGTAAGAACTGACAATGGAACAACAGACTGGTTCAAGATAGGACAGGGTTGTATACTCTCCCCCAACCTATTCAACTTGTATGCAGAACACATCATGCAATGTGCAGGGCTTGACAAATGCAAGGCTGGAGTAAAAATTGCTGGAAGAAATATTAACAACCTTCTATATGCAGATGATACCACTTTGATGGCTGAAAGCGAGGAGGAGCTGAGGAGCCTTCTATTCAAGGTGAAAGAAGAAAGTGCAAAAGCTGGGTTGCAGCTAAACATGAAAAAAAAAACAAGATTATGGCAACAAGAAAGATTGATAACTGGGAAAGAGAGGAGGCCGTGACAGACTTTGTATTTCTAGGTGCCAAAATTACTGCAGATGCAGATTGCAGCCAGGAAATCAGAAGACCCTTACTTCTTGGGAAGAGAGCAATGACCAATCTCGATAAAATACTGAAGAGTAGAGACATCACACTGGCAACCAAGATCCCCATAGTCACCTACGGATGTGAGAGCTGGATGATAGGGAAGGCTGAGCGAAGGAAGATAGATGCTTTTGAACTGTGGTGTTGGAGGAAAGTTCTGAGAGGGCCTCAGACCAGAAGAAGATCCAACCAGTCCATACTTCAGGACATAAAGCTCATTGGAGGGAAGGATAGTAGAGACAAAGATGAAGTACTTTGGCCACATCATGAGGAGATAATTATGCTGGGGAAAATGGAAGGAAAAGGGAAGGGGGGCTGACCAAGGGCAAGATGGATGGATGGCATCCTTGAAGTGACTGGACTGACGTTGAAGGAGCTGGGCGTGGTGACGGCTGACAGGGAGCTCTGGCGTGAGCTAGTCCATGAGGTCACAAAGAGTTGGTTGCAACTGAATAAACAACAATGGCCATGTTCCTGACATTTTGCCAGCATCTCTGTGTAGCCTCCATTTTGGAGTTCACATGGATAATGGAACAATATCCTAAAATTCAGGTTTGTTTATTTATTTATTTATTTACGGTGTTTGTAGCCCACCTTTCTCAGTCAAAAGATGACTCAAGGTAGCTTACAGAATAGGCAGCAATTTGATGCCATACATTCATAAAAAAATACAATTCAAAACATTCAGCATAACAATATAAAAACCATATAAAACCATTAAAAACATATGATTACCAGTGTTGTCCTATGAAACTCACTGTCCAGTAGTATCGTCTAGCTCCATTCCATGTTCATTCTTCATAGTTCCTCTTTATTTATTACTAGCTTGGGGACCCGGCGTTGCCCGGGTTATTAGAGAAAGTGGGTAATGGCGGTTCTGTATGCCAAGTTTGGTCTTTATTGGTCTTTGGATAACGGCTGCAATATTTTCAGGAAGTGAGTGAAGGTACTTGAAGTCCCATCATCCATGGGCCATCCTCCTACAAACAGCAGCAGGATATAGAGTGGGTCATGGGGGCTCTGTGTGCCAAGTTTGGTCTTTATCAGTCATTAGATGAGGGTGGCAGTGGTGTCAGTAAGTGAGTGAAGGTATTGCAAGTCCCATCATCCAAAGTCCATCCCGTTTCAAACTGCAGCAGGATGTAGAGTGGATCATGGGGGCTCTGTGTGCCAAGTGTGGTCTTGATTGGTCATTAGAAGAGGGTTGCAGCAATCTTTGGAAGGGAGTGGAGGTACTTGAAGTCCCATCATCCATGGTCTGTCCTCCTCCAAACTGCACCAGGATGTAGAGTGGGTCATTGGAGCTCCATGTGCCAAGTTTAGTCTTGATTAGTCATTGGCGAGGGTCTCAGTGGTCTCAGGAAGTGAGCAAAGGTACTGCAAGTCCCATCATCCATCTCCAAATTTTTCCAAACAACACCAGGACGTAAAGTGGGTCATGAGAGGTCTATGTGCCAAGTTTGGTCTTGATCCGTCATTGGATGAGGTTTGCAGAGGTCTCAGAATGTGAGTGAAGGTACTGGAAGTTCCATCATCCATGGTCCACCCTTCTCCAAAACTGCAGCAGGATGTAGAGTGGGTCATGGGGGCTCTGTGTGCCAACTTTGGTCTTGATTGGTCATTAGATGAGTTTTGCAGCAGTCTTGGGTAGTGGAGGTACTTGAAGTCCCATCATCCATGGTCTGTCATCCTCCAAACTGCTCCAGGATGTAGAGTGGGTCATTGAAGCTCCATGTGCCAAGTTTAGTCTTGATGAGTCATTGGCGAGGGTCTCAGTGGTCTCAGGAAGTGAGTGAAGTGACTGCAAGTCCCATCATCCATTGTCAAATTCTTCCAAACCGCACCAGGATGTAGAGTGAGTTATGCGGGCTCTCTGTGTAAATTGTGGTCCTGATCCATCATTGTTGGCAGTTATAATGGTCTTAGGAAGGGAGTGCAGGTATTGCAAGTCCCATCGTCCATGGTGCATCCTCCTTCAAACTGCACCTGGATGTAGAGTGTGTCATGGAGACTCAGTGTGCCAAGTTTGGTATTTATTGGTAATTGGATGAGGGTTGCAGTGGTCTGAAGAATTGAGCAATGGTACTGCAAGTCCCATAATCCACGGTCCATCCCCGGCCAAACCACACCAGGACGTAAAGTGGGTCATGAGAGGTCTATGTGCGAAGTTTGGTCCTGATCAGTCATTGGATAAGGTTAACAGCGGTCTCAGAATGTGAGTGATGGTACTGCAAGTCCCATCATCCATGGTTCATCCTCCTCCAAACTGTAGGATGTCGAGTGGGTCTTGTGTGCTCTGTTTGCCAAGTGTGGTCTGTATTGGTAATTTTCTGACAGAGCCCCTGGCCTTTCCTTTCCTCTCTTTGTCATCTCGGAATCTTGGAATTGAGGCTGGCCAATCAGAGACCATATGCAAATTTCCTTCTGTCATGTCCTGTTTCTGTCATGAACCCTTTTCTCCACCAGGGGCTCCTGTTGAAGCAGGCCAATCAGGGATCATATGCAAATAGCACCACAGCAGCAGCCAGTCAGAATCTTGGAACTTTCAGGCTGGCCAATCAGAAAGCCGGCACATACACCACCACACATCCGCCGCATACAAGTTTTGACTTTTATTATATACTAGCTTGGGGACCCGGCGTTGCCCGGGTTATTAGAGAAAGTGGGTAATGGCAGTTCTGTATGCCAAGTTTGGTCTTTATTGGTCTTTGGATAATGGCTGCATTATTTTCAGGAAGTGAGTGAAGGTACTTGAAGTCCCATCATCCATGGGCCATCCTCCTACAAACAGCAGCAGGATATAGAGTGGGTCATGGGGGCTCTGTGTGCCAAGTTTGGTCTTTATCAGTCATTAGATGAGGGTGGCAGTGGTGTCAGTAAGTGAGTGAAGGTACTGCAAGTCCCATCATCCAAAGTCCATCCCCTTTCAAACTGCAGCAGGATGTAGAGTGGATCATGGGGGCTCTGTGTGCCAAGTGTGGTCTTGATTGGTCATTAGAAGAGGGTTGCAGCAATCTTCGGAAGGGAGTGGAGGTACTTGAAGTCCCATCATCCATGGTCTGTCCTCCTCCAAACTGCAGCAGGATGTAGAGTGGGTCATTGGAGCTCCATGTGCCAAGTGTAGTCTTGATTAGTCATTGGCGAGGGTCTCAGTGGTCTCAGGAAGTGAGCAAAGGTACTGCAAGTCCCATCATCCATCTCCAAAGTTTTCCAAACAACACCAGGACGTAACGTGGGTCATGAGAGGTCTATGTGCCAAGTTTGGTCTTGATCCATCATTGGATGAGGTTTGCAGAGGTCTCAGAATGTGAGTGAAGGTACTGGAAGTTCCATCATCCATGGTCCACCCTTCTCCAAAACTGCAGCAGGATGTAGAGTGGGTCATGGGGGCTCTGTGTGCCAACTTTGGTCTTGATTGGTCATTAGATGAGTTTTGCAGCAGTCTTGGGTAGTGGAGGTACTTGAAGTCCCATCATCCATGGTCTGTCGTCCTCCAAACTGCTCCAGGATGTAGAGTGGGTCATTGAAGCTCCATGTGCCAAGTTTAGTCTTGATGAGTCATTGGCGAGGGTCTCAGTGGTCTCAGGAAGTGAGTGAAGTGACTGCAAGTCCCATCATCCATTGTCAAATTCTTCCAAACCGCACCAGGATGTAGAGTGGGTCATGCGGGCTCTCTGTAAATTGTGGTCCTGATCCATCATTGTTGGCAGTTGTAATGGTCTTAGGAAGGGAGTGCAGGTATTGCAAGTCCCATCGTCCATGGTGCATCCTCCTTAAACTGCACCTGGATGTAGAGTGCGTCATGGAGACTCAGTGTGCCAAGTTTGGTATTTATTGGTAATTGGATGAGGGTTGCAGTGGTATGAAGAATTAAGCAATGGTACTGCAAGTCCCATAAT